GCTTTGCCCACTGGACTGTGCTGTCTCCCTTCAGTCTTAGAAATGTAGTTGCAGACGTATTTGGATAACATAGCACCCCTGCCCCATTTGAGAGAGTTATTAGAGTTGGTACAGGATATACTTTTTAAAGCTTTTGTTTAAAGTTTATTGTATTATTTTTCAGGAAGAGTTTCACCACTACTTTATACCTAGTAGTTCAAATAGTCATTTATTCACATTGGGTTTTTATTATTTTTTTCTGTTTTATAGGTAATGGAACATTACTTCAGAAATTTTCTTTAGTTACTGGTAAGATAGAACATTTTCCCAAGTAAAGATTCAAAGGGGAAGAATTTCTTTCTTTCTGTGTGCTCTTGTTTAGTCCAGTTATATAGATGTGATCATAAACCAAGAGGATGTGAGAGTTCTTTCTGTGGGCTTTGTTGTAAGGCTTTTCTTCAGTTTGTGGTTTGATGAACTGGGCTGAAAAAATTTGTGCAACATTATTTTCATAAACTACTAATACTATTGCCTTGATATTTATGAGTAAATACAATTGTGTAGATACCTTCATTGTAAATATATGTGTATGTGTACTCAGGAAGAATGGAAATGAAGGACTAAGTATAATAAAAAGCATCAAGTATTTCTAAAGTGTGCTTCAAATATCCGAGTTACTCTTTACCTTGGTAGTTGAATTCCCAGGCCAGCCTCTGAAAACCTATTTAACCTATAATATAGCCTAACTGTGCTACCTAATAAGTCTAGACTTTATATTCAGATATTTATTTTAAATACACATTGTACTCCTATTTAGCAGTCCTGGGACAGGAAACCTGAAGCTATTGAAGGATGTAGGCAGCTGTGGGAGCTTCTCATAAGGAGGTTCAGGAAAGTGTGTGTGTGTGTGTGTGTGTGTGTGTGCGCGTTTGTGTGTGCATGTGTGTGTTAGGACTCATGCATACGTATATATCCAAAGGCTTACTGGAATAAAGAGGAGTTAAAAGAAAGTCTTACCAAGTAAGAAAATTGGATTAGAAGCTGAGTAACCATACCTAGGCTGGTTATGTTAAGAGCTCTTTGGAAATGGATGGTGCACATTGTGGCCTTCAGAGCACTTGTCTTACTTTACAGAATTGAAGCTCAAACTGCAGTAATTGTGGAGTGGTATCTAGAAGGGAAAACATGTTTGAAATAACATATTTAGTGAAGTATTTGAGGACTATTCTTAATGTGAATGATATCTGATACAGCATAAATTTTATATGAGAAACGGATGTGGTGATGCTCTGTAATCAATAGGATAGATGATAAAAGTATGAAATTGTTTGGTCAAACCAATTGTTTGGTTTGTTTTTTGGGTTAGATGTGAATATGAAAAGCAACTTGACCTTAATGGTTTTTGGAAAAGTCTTAGATGTGATTTTGATTTTGTTGTTTTTTTTAAGGAGATAATAGTAAAAAGGAGAGGTTGAGCCTGCAGTTGACGTATTTAATGTTAAAAATAGCAGGAGGACACAGCGGGATGAATTTGGATGGTGGATGAATATTTAATGAAAGGCCATAGGAGAGAAGGTTAAAATTAAATAATCGCACTGTAAGTATCTGTTTTCATATCTGAAGTCTCACTGAAAGGTATTTGATGCATTTTGAGAGGTACAGATATTCTGTGTATTTCATGCTTCCGATTTTCAAAAATCTCAGGGTTAGCTAACATTTTTGACATGGGTGCAAATTAACTGAATTTTAAGTAGGACTTTGAGAGTTTATGGCAGTGATGAGACAGATATTACAAAACAATTTTAGTCACTGATAAGATGAACTTGCTGCACTGTTATCTACAACATTAAAATAAAGACATTCCAATAATTTTTCCATTTAAAATTTCTGCTTTAATTAAACCAGTTTTGGTTGTGCACTATTTAAAGTGAAGTAAGTAGACTTTCCCTGTGCTCTGGTTAATCCAGATTGAATGTGAAGATAGGGCTGCCTCAGGGCCCCATATGGGAAATTTAGCCCGAGATCTGATTTCCTCAGCCTCTCTGTTGGCTGGGTGGATTCTGAAATCACAAGTCCAGCCTTCAGGTTTTCACACTTCCACTTCCATAGAAAGTTTTATTTTATCTTTTGAAAGGAAGTGTGGAAAATAATTATATTTTGCTTTTATTAGGCATAATTCTAATTTAAATCATTCTGGGAAGAGTTAATTCTTAGTCCTCAATTTTAGTTTTGTTACAACGTATCCACAGACATGTCTGTATATTGAATTGTGAGTTAGCATCGGTTGTGTGACATCAGTATACTGTTGGAACTATTTCTGTCATTGTAAGTGCAACATTTAAAAAATTCCCTGAAATTGTGAATTTTGAGCAGAACTGTTCGGCCTGCACATATTTTCATTCAGGTGAGGTCAGTTCCTGGCAGACTCCTGACTCCCTTGGGCCAGAGCTCTGCTGTAGGAAGGTGTTAATGCCCCTCGTAGGCCCGTTGGGATGCCCCCTCCTCGCAGGGCCTGTGTCCAGGGGGGCGTCTGCTGTGTCGCATTATAATCTGCAGGGCCTGTCTCCTTCAGAGAACCGTTCGTTTCTGTAGGACAGCCCCTGAACACCGCTCGCTCATTTTTCTGCCTCCAGTGTCTGGCACAGTCACACAGTAGATTCGTGGTAAATGTGTAGAGAATCAGGTGATGAAAAGCGACCCCCAGGGTCAGCCCTATGCAGGAACATGGGCAAAGAGCCCCTCGGCCCCTGGGCGCAGTGCAGGCGGGAGGGAGGACCGGCAGCCCTCGCGGCCCTGCGATCGCGGGTTCCAGGCCTGTGCTCCCGGTCCCCCGACTCGCGTCCCGTCTGCGCCTGAGCCTCCGTTTCCCGTCACCTCTGTGATGTGCCTGCCCCTGTCAGCCTCCTCCATTGCAGCCTAGTCAGCAAGTGCAACGAAAGCTTTGGCCCTCTCTCGCCACCAGGCACCTGGGCTGCATGTGGCCTGGCTGCTCCTGCTGCGTGGGACCCACCCCACCTCCCGTGGCACCATATCTGTGGAGCCTGTGTATTCTGACCACTCTTTTGGTCTCACTGGGGGCTCCTTTCCCCTCTCCCTCCCTTAAAAGGTGATATTTCCTCTCCCCATTGTTCTCTTTTTCATATATTCTTCCTGGATAAACTTCTTGTGTTTCTACATACTTCTACTTATAATTCATCCAGTATTTATTGAACATTTGCTGTGTGTCACGTGCACTCCCTGACTTATGTCCTGGAGGTGTACAAGGAGTAAAACAAAAGTCACTGCTCTCCAGGGACACACGTCCTGTATATGCTGACTTTTCTCTGTTTACTATTCGAAGCCAGACCTTATTCCCCAAGCTGCAAACTTACTGTGTCTCTCCCTTCTGGAAATTTTCACCTATAGGAACCTCAAATTTAATGTGTAGGATACTGAAGGCTGCCATTGGCTGGCTCTTCAAGCCTGCGGGAGCAGGTTCATCTGCTTCTAGCCCTCCTCCGTCCCAGTCAGTGTCTTACTCATCTGTTAAGGCACCCTTGACTCCTGTCTTCTTCCATCACTCAGTGTCAGGTGGTGCTGCATTTCCCTCCTACTGCTTGAATCTGGGCTTGTTTTCTCCCACCACTGCTAGCAGTACAGGACCTTCGCTCACCTCCCTGCAGCCCAGCCCAAGGGGGCTCTGGCAGCTGCCTGAGAGAGCAATCCTGAAAAGGTGGATCTGACTATAGCTCTCTTCTCTGTTAAAAGCACCCAGTGAAGATATAATCTGAAGCTTTTAAAATGATGTAAGGCCCACCCATGTACTGGCTTTTGCCTGATGTTGTAGCTGCTTCTGTGCAGGTTCCTGAGATCCTGCTTCATTTGGATTAACACTGCTTATGTTTCCTCATACACACTAGGCAGCTCATCTCCCATGAGACTGTGCTTTAAAGCCTGTTTCTTCTGCTTTGTGCTACTCTGTGCTCTGTCACTCCCCATCTTGAACCTGGCGTCTTCCCATTTATCCTGCTAAACCTTAAGTCTACCCGAGAGTCCCGTGTACTTACCTCTGTGTGAATATGCAGTCTGGCGTACAGTAGGGATCAGTATATGGTTTTGGAAGGAAGGAAGGAAGGAGCTTGCTGGATGAATGCTGCAGGCCTGCTCAGCATATGAGGAAGGAAGGACTTCCCCCACTACTGCATTCACTGCTCCTTGGAAGCCCCCAGGGCATGAAAGCCCAGGCTGAGGCTCCAGTTCTGCCTCTCCCAAGTGGCCTTGGCCCTGAGGCCCATGGGCTGACTCACCAAGCCAAAAATAAAACTCAAAGTCTACTTTTGAACTGGTTATGTTTGGTAAGATGCTTACTTACATAGGGAAGGTGGCTTGTGACTCATAGTCTGGGTGCCTATTCGTGTGCACTGGTAATTTTTTAAATTTTTACCCAGACATTCTGTACTATCTAAAAATCTATCCTTTCACTTTCTAGTGAGCACTCAGATGCATTAATGTTTGATCAGAACTTGCAGACTCAGGTCTAAAGAAAAATAGTTGTTCTAAGAATTCTTTGAAGTCAGAAGGTGTTGCTGACTACTCAGGATAGTGGGGCTTTATTACGAATAAACTGAAAGAGCTGGATGAGGTTAACTATCATGTTCATTTCCTATGTGCACAATAGAATTATAGAAGCAAATGTTTCTCTCTGCTCAGGATGCAAAATCTTTCCCTATATTGTTTACACTGGATCCCTCTTGTTAAAACCTTCCTAAAAACAAAAAATAAATGTCTTGGATCCCTTTAGGTTTTCCTCTAATGTTCTTGCAATGTTTCATTTGCCAGGTAGTTGTTGTCTAATTGAAATAAAATCAACATATAACACTATATTAGTTTCAGATGTTACAACATAATGACTTGATAATTGTGTTTCTTGTATGTCTTTAATATTTTCAGAAGTAAGGATAATTGTGTTTTTAATGTGTAAGTTAAGCCTTTGCAATAAATAATGACTTGATAAACCTACCTCTTCCCTTATTTCTTCACAGGGCAGCCCAATGGATCCCATGGTGATGAAGAGACCTCAGTTGTATGGAATGGGCAGTAACCCTCATTCTCAGCCTCAGCAGAGCAGCCCTTACCCAGGAGGTTCCTACGGCCCCCCAGGCCCACAGCGGTATCCAATCAGCATCCAAGGTCGGACCCCAGGGGCCATGGGAGGAATGCAGTACCCACAGCAGCAGGTTTGTGCTGGTTTTTGCCCCCACCCGAAGTGCTGACAGTTTTGTCTTGGTCTTCTGCTGTGTACCTAAGATTGTTATTGGGAGAATCAGGGCATTTCACAGATTTTCTGCTTTAATCTTCATAATTTCTTCAAGTAATCTCAGGTACAATTTTCTTTTTTTTTTTAAAGAAGGGAAAGTGAGCTTCTTATTCTTAGAACAAAGTGGACAAAATACCTGTTTGGTAGGGGGCTCGTGTCACCACTGTGTTTGAAAGGTGGACCATGTCATCATTTTGAAACACATTGTAAAGCTCTAAACCCTGAAGTGAACTTGGCTTTCTAACTTTTCTGATGTCAAACTGTGTCAGATTTTGAGCTATGAATAGGCTTCTAGAGGCAAAGTTTTAAGTTATTTAGAGAAAAAATAACCATGAAGAGGTATTAACTTTTAAAAAAGGTTTTAGTTTTCCAAAAAGTTATTTGTCTTCATTTTTTTTAACGTATTATTTGTTCCATACCTTTTGAAAAAGGTTTTTGTGTTTCATATAAAAGGATTTGATGTGTATCTGTTCTCTTAGTTTTTGATGGGTTTTGTGTTTTCATTTAAAACAAACAATAAAAGACTTCTTCTGTTAAAAAAAGACCCAATATTATTCTCCTTTTTCTCTGAAATCAAATAGTTGGAGTTAACTCAGCTGGACTATCTACTTTCTAGTAGTAGGAAACTTAGAGCCTCTTGCGCATGGGAGAGGATATCCTTGTTACGCTGATCTGAGGAAGCATGAAATTTGGAAAAGACTAAACTAGATTCAGAATTGTTAGGACATTTAGTTCCTAGAAACACCAGAAAGGTTTAATTATAAATTTGCACACCATGCCTTTTACCCATGGGGTGTTTTGGGCTGATACTGTGTACATTTTACTACTTCCAGTTAGGTTATCCCATAATGTCACCAATAATCCATTCCAGGGTTTTACAGTGTTTCTTCTCAGGAGGTTCTTCCCTATGTTAGTCCAGAAATCATCTATGGAAAAAAAAATGGATAGAGCTTTTTGGTGTCCCTGAAGTGGATGTTTTAGGTCTGTCATGCTTTATGCTCCAGAGCTGTGTACTAGTAGTTCATTAAGTAGCATCATGTCTTTCTTTGATGGACAGAATACTGTCTTTTCTCTCTTTGTACCTCCTTTGGTGTTATTTTTATTTTAAGGTGATTGTAAGGAAAGATAGAAGGAGCTCAGCCTTTGAATCTTACCTGTTGGCTCCGTAAGCAGCCCTCATAATTCTTACCCCTTATTTACTAAGGATTGGCTGCTCAAGTTTAGCAGTAGTCTGTCTCTTACATAGTTAATTGTACGCATAATGTTTTTCAATATTACTTCTTTCTTCCAGTAATATTTTGTTGCCTAGAGTGGAAAAAAAACTGTTTAGTTAAAGATGCTGAATATGAGAGGGAAATGATTTGTAAATGATTGAAAATTAAAGTGAGAGAGGTAATTTTCTCTCTCACTTCCTTCTTTTAGTTTTAAGCTAATTTGCTCTTAGTTGAAGGGAAGAAGACCCAGGCAGTAGCTGCTACAGTCCTATTTCTACACCAGGGCTCATTTCATTTGGGGGCTGGCAGTTCTGTGTTATATGCTGGCCATGGGAAGAGAGTAGAGGGAGAGAGGTAAGAATAACAGGACTGGTGGAGAAGAGTGGGTACTGACCACTCCTTGCTTCTGCACCATCCTTTCCACTGTATTTTCCTGATGTGAAATTTGAAAACATTTTAAAAAGTGCTGTTCATGCAAGCTACTTACATGCTCCTTTATCTTTTTTTCTGAATGAGTTAGCCTTATTGGAAGCTTTTGATATTGGCTTAGTTTGCAATCCCAAAGTGGGAATCTAACATATGGAGAGGGTTTGTGAAGAAAGATTGTCTAAGAATATTTGTTTCATTGTTTTCTTCCGCGCATGTGTAAGGCTAAAAGTAGAGGACACACAGATACAAGGAGAAAAACCTCAGTTTTCTTAGCTTCTTAGCGTTATTTAATCCCTGTGGCTCCTAATATATTTTCAAGATCCAAAAGCTCTTGGATTTATTTGAAGGGACAAATTGATGAAGATAACCCACCAAGTACTTTGGCATATTTTTAATTAAGATTTTAGATTAGGTATTTTATTGCTAACCAAAAGAAATGCCTAATTCTAATTAAGCACAGATCTTTCTGACAATGAAAATACTGCATCTGTTAAGAAACTAAATGCTCTGGCTGTAAAATCAAACTTTCATACTGAGTTCATCATAATCAAGTGTTCTAAATAGTCTGTATTTTCAATCTTTTATTTAGTTGTAATACAGCCTTAAAATACAGTATCTTGTTTTGAAATCTAAATGGCTAAAAATAGCTGTGAATGAATTCTGAATATGTGTAACATTTTAAAGGGGATACAGCTTTTGTAATACCAAATTCATGTGATCACTTAGGTGTAGGCTAAATAATTAATAGTTTTGAAGTGGATAAAGATAGTGAAGGTTTTGGGTAAAGGTTATTGGAACACATTTATTCTGTTAGCTTTAGTTTGCGTTCGTTGGTGAGGAATTTTCGGAGAGTTGCTTTGTTTGCACATTTTGGATAAGTATAAATTTGTCCACAAGCAAGGTCCTGTCACAGTGATTGGCCGCTGGTACTATCCATCTTCTCCTCATGTTGATGTAATGGGCTGAGCATTGTTGTAGTTGTGGCTGCTTGCTTATGTTCTTCAGGGAAAAAAATTGAAAGATAATGATTAATGATGACATTGAATTTTTATGAAGTGGACATCACCACCTAGGTATGACCTTGCTTTGGATGGCTTCCAAAGCTTTCTGTGTTTGGTTTGTGAACCTCTAATGAGCTGAGTCCAGTTCATTTAATATTGCTCGTATATTTCTGCAAAGGATTAAAAATGCAGGAATTCAGGTTTCTAAATTGAGTTGCCTACTTACCAGCTGAGTGGTAAGTTGTCGTTGGCTCAGGGGTCCCAGTTTTATTCCTGGCTGGCATTCCACTCCTGTGATAGGAATTTTAAGTGAGTATTCTGTTAGAAAGAACTGCAGTGCTTACAGGAAATGTAACATGGATAGGATCCCTGCTTACTTGTCTCTGAGAGTCAGAAGGAACTGGCCACTGAGTGTTTGCTTTTAGTGTTAACCTGGTGATTCTTGATTTGTATGGTGATAATTTTATTTTTGAAATGTACTCACGACTGGGTCTTTGAAGCATGACATGATAATAGTACATCATTTTGGTATTTATTAACTGGAACTAGATTTGTGGTCTTTTACTTGCTGATTCTCCCACATCATCAGGCAAATTCATGGCTAAACAGATTAGTTTTGCATGGTGCCCTAAAACCTAGCCTGCTTGGGTTTTTATTGAGCTGAGAGGGGAAATGAATTTTCTATGCCTCTGTGGAGAATGTTCTGCCTCTAGGCTTGTAGAATTCAAACCTGGGGATTGTTAGCAGAAGTACACTGGTTGATTTCATCTAATACAGAGCTACACAGAGAATGTATAATCTTTAAGGTTACTAGACTCTGACTCGGAGTTTTCAGATTTTTTTTTGAGTTAGACACCAAGGTATCCTTTGTTGGATCAGGGATGTGGGTGAGCAAATGTTTTATTTTTCTTGTCCTTTGTGATCATAAATGTATACATAGGCCTGTGCCAACTTGCTTTAAAAATATTTTCATAAAACAAATAGCACCCAGGGGAAATAGACTACAGAAGTGAAGATACATTTATTTGTGTCAAACAGATTTCAGCTACTGTACGTAGTCTGAGATTTTTCTGAGTTATCAAGGGTTACTGGGCTGATATTTTAACCATCTTTATCTTGTTGCAGATATTTGTATAATCTGATGCCTATTGGCATTATAAAACCAGGGAAAGGGAAAGAAGGCAACATGTTTTAAGTTCATGAATGCTTTCATGATGGGAAAACACGACTTTTCTAGTTTTTAAAAATACATCTGCATTGTGAAGACCTTTACAACAACAAGAGGATGGATAATGCTCATTGTTTTGAAAGATATCATGGCAAAATTAACTAGAAATTAGTTATTTTTAGTTGATTCATCTGAACTTTTTCAATCTAAATAAAAACTGAATTAAAAACTCAGGTTCTTTTGTAAAAGAACTTAGAAGTAAATAGGTATTCTAGTTTGTGCCTTTATCTTCTATAGCTTTTGGATATGTCTGTTTTGCTGTGTGATTTTGAGTAAAACATTTATTTCAAAACATAAGCATTTTATTTGGTACCATCTTAACAGCCAAAACACTTCTTCCAATGCAAATGTTTATTTTGGCAGCAGTTGTTTCTAAAAGGAGACAAACATTACAATTGTTTGGCTAAAATAAATGTTTTCTTTGGTGTTATTAAGGCAGCCAAGCAAGTTTGAGGATTCCCACCTGTGTTACTTTCTATTGTCAGTCTATTTCTGAAAAAATTTTTGCTTTTTAAAATGTAATTAAAATCATGATTTGATACAGTTTGCACGATGTCTCTGAAAAATCAGGATGAATGGGGAAGGGGAGGGACTGGTTAAAGACTTAGAAATTCCAGTGTTTTTTGACATGAAAATTTTGTTTAGACTGAGTCTCTGAATCATAAATGTGAATCCAATAATCAGGGCTTAATTTTGGCTTTATCTAAAAGAGTTTAGACTTCCTGTTTTCAGGGTGTAACAGGATAAGAAAGGGAGGCTTGACAATGTAATGGAGAGGAATGGGTGCCTCATGTCTGTTTTACATTTTTTGATAGTTTATATTCACTCAGACAACCACCTGTACCTGTGTAGTGTATCCGTACCTACTTGCACACACATATGTCAAACAGACCATTTGTGTGACAGTGGTATCCTAGTGTAATGAAATATATCTGTATATGTATATTAAAGAATATATTAAGTGTATATTTTATGTGTATAGATATGCATACAGTACACATGTAAACAAACCACAAATACATCAATAAACTGAAGGGGGAAACATTTT